AAAAAAAACTTCACTTAAGTCTTTAGTATTTTTATTTTTTTATTGTCATTGACTTGTTTAGACCGTATTTATAGCTCTACTCATATAATAAAAGTAAGAAATTTATTGAAATAAGGATATTTCTGACCATATACTAAAAAACATAACTAAGTAAAAATTGTTTTTAAAAAATTTCTATTTTTATTAGTTTGATTTAAAGGTGTGTGAGCAGTCGCGTACAGAGGAAAAAAAATTTTCGGGATTACTATATAATAAACCATAATAAATAGAGTCTATTAAGAACTTAAAAAGACATCAATTAAAAGAGACATGTGTATCCAAAAGAAACAAAAGAAAAAAAAAATCATTTGGGGAAACCTTTAGTCACAAGAATCAAATGGCAAAGTGGTTAAAACATAAAAGAAGCTTCACTTAGGTCTTCAGTTTTTTTTTTTTTTTTTTTTTTTTTTTTTTTTTTTTTTTTTTAATGTGATTGACTTGTTTAAACCGTGTTTATTGCTCTGCTCATATACTAAAAGTAGGAATTTCATTGATATAAGGGTGTTTCTGACCATATAGTAAAAAAAAAAAAACTAATTAAAAACTTTTTTTAAAAAATTTCTATTTTCATTAGTTTGATCTAAAGGTGTGTGTGTAGTCGATTACAGAGGGAAAAAATTTTCCAGAATTAATATATAAGAAACTATAATAAATAGAGTTTATTCAGAACTTTAAAAGAGGTCAATTAAAAAAGATACATGGGTATCAAAAAGAAATAAAAGAAAAAAAAAATCAATCGACCCCTTTCTATAACATAGATCCACTGTTGCGTGTGATTCACCATTACATGTACGGTCAAACGAAAGTTTAAATAACGGAAACTTTTAATCACAAGAATCAAATGGTAAAGTGGTTAAGACATAAAAAAAAAAAACTTAACTTAGGTCATTAGTATTTTTATTTTTTTTTATTGTGATTGACTTGTTTAGACCGTGTTTATAGCTCTACTCATATACTAAAAGTAGGAATTTTATTGAAATAAGGGTATTTCTGACCACATACTTAAAAAAATAACTAAGTAAAAATTGTTTTTAAAAATTTCTATTTTCATTAGTTTGAAAATAACTAAGTAAAAATTGTTTTTAAAAATTTCTATTTTCATTAGTTTGATCTAAAGGTGTGTGAGCAGTCGCGTACAGAGGAAAAGAATTTTTTGGAATTAATATATAATAAACTATAATAAATAGAGTTTATGCAGAACTTAAAAAGACATCAATTGAAAAAGATATGTGTACCAAAAAGAAACAAAAGAAAAAAAAAAAATCATTCGATCAAATGAAAGTTTCAATAGGGGAAACCTTTAGTCCCAAGAATCAAATGGCAAAGTGGTTAAAACATAAAGGAAGCTTCACTCAGGTCTCCAGTATTTTTATTTTTATTTTTATTGTGATTGACTTGTTTAGACTGTGTTTATTGCTCTACTCATATACTAAAAGTAGGAATTTCATCGAAACAAGCATATTTCTAACCATATACTAAAAAAAAAAAACTAATTATAAATTGTTTTTAAAAAATTTCTATTTTCATTAGTTTGATCTAAAGGTGTGTGCGCAGTCGATTACAGAGGAAAAAAATTTTTTAGGATTAATATATATTAAACTATAATAAATAGACTTTATTCAGAACTTTAAAAGAGGTCAATTGAAAAAGATACATGTGTATCAAAAAGAAATAAAAGAAAGTTACATGTGTAAACTATAACCCCTTTCTATAACATAGATCCGCCATTGCGTGTATGGTCAAACGAAAGTTTAAATAGGGGAAACGTTTGATCACAAGAATCAAATGGCAAAGTGGTTAAAACATAAAAAAATCTTCACTTAGGTCTTCAATATTTTTATTTTTTTTATTGTGATGGACTTGTTTAGACCATGTTTATTGCTCTACTCATATACTAAAGTAGGAATTTTATTGAAATAAGGGTATTTATGACTATATACTAAAAAATAACTAAGTAAAAATTGTTTTTAAAAAATCTCTATTTTCATTAGTTTGATCTAAAGGTGTGTGAGTAGTCGCGTGCAGAAGAAAAAAATTTTTCGGGATTAATATATAATAAACCATAATAAATAGAGTTTATTCAGAACTTAAAAAGATGTCAATTGAAAAAGATATGCGTATCAAAAAGAAACAAAAGACAAAAAATCATTCAATCAAACGAAAGTTTCAATAGGGGAAACCTTTAGTCACAAGAATCAAATGGCAAAGTGGTTAAAGCAAAAAAGAAGCTTCACTTAGGTCTTCCGTATTTTTATTTGTTTTATTATGATTCACTTGTTTAGACTGTGTTTATTGCTCTACTCATATACTAAAAGTAGGAATTTCATTGAAATAATAGAGTGTGTGCGCAGTCGATTACAGAGGAAAAAATTCACTTGTTTAGACTTGTTTAGACTGTGTTTATTGCTCTACTCATATACTAAAAGTAGGAATTTCATTGAAATAATAGAGTGTGTGCGCAGTCGATTACAGAGGAAAAAAATTTTTCCGGATTAATATATAATAAACTATAATAAATAGAGTTTATTCATAACTCTAAGAGAGGTCAATTGAGAAAGATACATGTGTATCAAAAAGAAATAAAAGAAAAAAAATCAATCGACCCCTTTCTATAACATAGATCCGCCATTGCGTGTACGATCAAACGAAAGTTTAAATAGGGGAAACCTTTAATCACAAGAATCAAATGGCAAAGTGGTTAAAAAATTTTTTAAAAAAAATTCACTTAGGTCTTTAGTATTTTTATTTTTTTTATTGTGATTGACTTGTTTAGACTGTGTTTATAGCTCTACTCATATACTAAAAGTAGGAATTTTATTAAAATAAGGGTATTTCTGAAATAAGGGTATTTCTGACCATATACTAAAAAAAAAGAAGTAAATTGTTTTTAAAAAATTTCTATTTTCATTAGTTTGATCTAAAGGTGTGTGAGCAATTGCGTACAGAGGAAAAAAAAATTTGGGATTAATATATAATAAATTATAATAAATAGACTTTATTCAGAACATTAAAAGAGGTCAATTGAAAAAGATATATATATGTGTATCAAAAAGAAACAAAAGAAACAAAAATTCATTCGGTCAAACGAAAGTTTCAATTAGGGAAACTTTAGTCACAAGAATCAAATGGCTAAGTGGTTAAAACATAAAAGAAATTTCACTTAGGTCTTCAGTATTTTTATATTTTTATTGTCATTGACTTGTTTAGACCGTGTTTATTGATCTACTCATATACTAAAAGTAGGAATTTTATTGAAATAATAGTATTTCTAACCATATACTAAAAAAAAATAACTAAGTAAAAATTGTTTTTAAAAGAGGTCAATTGAAAAAGATATATGTGTATCAAAACGAAACAAAAGAAAAAAAAAATCATTCGGTCAAACGAAAGTTTCAATAGGAGAAACCTTTAGTCACAAGAATCAAATTGCAAAGTAGTTAAAATATAAAAGAAACTTCACTTAGGTCTTCAGTGTTTTTATTTTTTTTATTGTGATTGACTTATTTAGACCATGTATATTGCTCTACTTATATACTAAAAGTAAGAATTTTATTGAAATAAGGGTATTTCTGACCATATTCTAAAAAAACTAATTAAGTAAAAATTGGTTTTAAAAAATTTTTATTTTCATTAGTTTGATCTAAAGGTGTGCGCACAATCGCATATAGAGGAAAAAAAATTTTCGGAATTAATATATGATAAACTATAATAATAGAGCTTATTCAGAACTTTAAAAGAGGTCAATTGAAAAAGTTATATGTGTACCAAAAAGAAACAAAAGAAAAAAAAGAAACAAAAGAAAAAAAAAAAATATCATTCGGTCAAACGAAAATTTCAATAGGGAGACCTTTAGTCACAAGAATCAAATGGCAAAGTGATTAAAACATAAAAGAAGCTTTACTTAGGTCTTCTGTATTTTTATTTTTTTTATCGTGATTGACTTGTTTAGACTGTGTTTATTGCTCTACTCATATACTAAAAAGTAGGAATTTTATTAAAATAAAGGTATTTCTAACCATATAGTAAGAAATAAAATAACTACGTAAAAATTATTTTTAAAAAATTTCTACTTTCATTAGTTTAATCTATGGGTGGAGCCATAACCCCGTCTATCCATGTATAATCATTTTTTTATTATTCTCTAAAGTTTCCTTTATTTTTTCTTTTCTTTTATGTATTAATTTAATACGAAAAAAGATCCGAATTGCTTAGATTTGATTTACAGATTTATACATAGATCAAATCAATTTATACATAGATCAAATCAATTAAAATATATATTTTTTTAAAAGTGGTCTCACTTTATCCCCTTTTTTTTTTTTTAGTAAATTATGAGAAATACTCTGTTGATTTAATCTATGGGTTGGTCTATATAGATTGGCTCCGCATAAGCAATTCTAATAAAAACATGTGCTAATATGATAAACTAAATTAAAATAGCTTATTTGATAAGAGATCCTTAAACTTCATAAAAATACATATTAAATACTATTATTTGCAGTTGAAAATAAAAAAGTGAGTAAATTCAACAACATTGCATGTAAGAATCTAAATTTTAATAATAATTTTATTTGCGGTTGCTAAAAACAGCAAGGGAACACAAGATATAAGCTTGGAAGGATCAAATATAAGTATTTAAATAGAAAACCCATATCGAATATATTAAAATAAAATTTTAAAATTTTACCCGGGGCGTTTGTAGGTTAAAAAGTGATGTGAAATTGGACGTCATGAAACAAAAATATTATTTATAAAAAAATTTTATTAAAAATAAATTAATATCCATATCTCCTTATAAAATATAAAATATTTTCTGTTTTAATTATTATTATTATTTACTCAATTCTATTATATTGCTATATATATACATGCTAACATTAAGTTGAGATTCGAGTTCAACTTTATGTATATAATTGCAAGATTTTGATATTGATCAAAATTTAATTGGAAAACAAATTCAGGTTGCTGATGACAAAGATGGGAAGATGAAATGTGTAAGAACAAGTGTGAATGTGGAAGATCATGTCATAGTCCCAGAGCTCAACCAAGACATGGAGTTATCACCACAAACATTCTTAGAAGATTACATCTCTAATTTAAGCAAAACAAATTTGGACATTTCAAAGCCTTTATGGGATGTTCATATCCTAAATCTTAAAACTGATGACGCTGAATCTGTTTGCATTGTTCGCGTTCATCACTCTCTCGGCGATGGATTCTCTCTCGTTTCTCTTTTACTTTCTTCAGCTCGTAAAGATCTGTTTGCATTGTTCGCGTTCATCACTCTCTCGGCGATGGATTCTCTCTCGTTTCTCTTTTACTTTCTTCAGCTCGTAAAGTTTCTGATCCAGAGGCAACTCCATCCTTTCCAGTGAAGAAGAAGAAGGAGAAATATGAAGAGCAGAATAATTTGAGTTATCTTCGCAAGTTTTGGTTGATGTTTCGATTTTATTGGAATAGTATGGTTGATGTTATTATGTTGATTGCAACATTATTGTTCTTCAAGGATACAAAAACACCTATCACAAATTCTATGTGGGGCGAATCATCTAGCAAGCGCATTGTTTACAAAATTGTTAGTTTGGACGACATCAAATTGGTGAAAACTGCCACCAACTATGTAAGTGATTTGATAAGTACATCATAATTTGATTTAGTCTTTTATTATAAATTTCAAGTTCTTGAAATTGTTTTGCTTTTGTGTTAATTTTTCAAGAGAAAGTATTTTTATATGATCCGGTTCTGAAATTAGAATCCTAGTTACTCATCAATAAGGTTAAATTAATTAACTAAAATAATTTTTAATTATTTTTCCTTCTTCTTTGGCTAATTTATTTATAGACTATTAACGATGTTATGATGGCCGTACTACAAGCAAGTTTATCTCGTTACCTCAACAGGCTATACGGTAAGGGCTCCTTTTCCATATATGCTTATATATACATTAGTTTGTTCTAAGGCATAATTACGTTGAGGCTTAGGGGTCATTTTTGTCCATTAAAATTCTTAAAATTTTAATTTTTTTTTTGTGCAAATTTTTATTTTATTTTAATTTATATTAGGATAGTATTATATGGTTACGATCCTACCATATGTCTTTTCATGTCCGACTAAAAAATTAATTCGATTAAGTTAAAAAATTTTCAATGAAAGATTTTATTCAAATAGAATGAATTGTCAAAATGTTCACCCCTATCTCTATGCCTTGCGGCATTGATTCCTTAAAATTTTATATCTGTTTAATTAACAATATTTTAATATAGTTCCATCCCTAAGTTCAATATACTTAAATAAGATATTTGACCATTGAAACGAATTAAATTACTATAAAGTCCTTGAAGTTTGACCAAAATTACTATTTCATTGCTAATATTTGAACAATTATTCTGAAGTCACTAAAGTAGTGAAATTTGGTACTATTCAACTACATTTTCTTCTATAGCAATTCAATAGTAAATGCGGGAGACAAAAGAATATTAATATATTAAATATGAGGGACTAAATAGTCAAATATTATTGGGTATTTAATGATAAAAGTAATAATTTTGGACCAAAAAACTAAATAGGGACTAAACCTCCGCGATTTTACAGTAAATTTTTCGAATAATATGGATAAAGCAGTAATTTCAGTAAACCTCAGACATTTCATAATAATTTACCCTTGTAAAAATTCATTATTATATCCACGCATGCCCGGTGACACAGGTGATAATGATAGAGCAACAGAGAAGGAGAATAATCTTCCAAAAGGCCTCCACGTTAGGGCTGCGGTACCTGTGTCCTTCAAGATGGGGATCCATGTGAGTTCTTCTATTCTTCGAGATTAATACTTTATTTAAAAAAAAAAAAAAAATTATATCGATCGTTGCCTGCCGTTGACATTTAATGTTGAAATAAATTATTAACGTGAGAATGATGAGATTTTCAATAGCATTTTAAATGAAATTTGAAATATTTTAAAATAATTTTAATCATAATCGATTAAAAAATTATATTTTATTAATTGACTAGATATGATTTATTAAAATTATTATTTTAATAAATATATATATAGATAATAATTATTTTAAAATTTTAAGATTTATTTTTTAAATTTTATTTTTAAAAAATATATATGATAATGAGTCATTTGAAAATTTTTGTATATTTTTGTATGTTATTTTTCAAATTTATTTTTTAAATATTTCAAAATTATTTTTTTAAATTATTATTTTATTTTAATTATAATTTAAATATTAATTTAGAAGAGATAAAAAATTTATTAATATATTTTTTAATATTTTTATGATTTGATTAGATATATTTTTTAATCAAATTTGATTTCATACTTATAATTTAAAATATTTAATTTAGAAGAGATAAAAAATTTTATTAATATATTTTTTAATATTTTTATGATTTGATTAGATATATTTTTTAATCAAATTTGAGTTTCATAGTTTAATAGATGTACACATAAACAATAAACTATATATCCTGTGTTTTTTGCTTTTGCTTTCAAAGTAGGTAGAAAATTTACTACTTGATTGCATGTTTAAATTTTTCAACATAAACTTTTAGATATATATATATATATATTTCATTATAATCACGTTATTTATATTATTATTATTTAATGTGAAATCAATATATATCCTAACATTTATTTATTGAGTTTTATAATTAAGAAGTGGTATAAGAGATTATTGTCGAATGGTTAAGAAATGGTAAATAGTGTTATTGTATAATAATTATAAAGAGTAATTTTGTGTTTTTGTCCAACAATAACTTTTTATATCGTTTAAAAGCGATTGAAGACTATATTCGGCAATAACTTTTTAAGTAGCTCTGATCAAAATGTTAAATGTTATTTTTTATATCGTTTGGTAATATATCGTTTGAACTAGCTTTTAGAGATCAATGCAGCGTCTTATAAAAAGTTAATTTATGTAACGTATAACTTGTAGAGTTTTATGAAAAGCTACTCAAATAGCTAACAGTTAATGTTACTAGAGGTCAAGATAGGGTCTTATAAAAAGTTAACTCATACAATATTTAGCTTCTAGTACTTTACAAAAAGTTACTCAAACAGTTAACAGCTAAATGTTATTAAAATAACTAACAGCTATTAAAATAAATAATTTTGTCGAACAGACTCAAAATCTACTTAAATGATAGGATTGATACGGATAAGTAGGCTTGAAACAAGTATTTTTAGGTGAATAATAGTTATGGATACATAAAATTATTAAATATATAAAATGTAATGCCTTGAAAGCCCATTTGTTGTCGTACAGGCTTTACCCCAGACTAAACATATGGTGGGCAATAACGTCGGTATTATCCTCTTTCCTTTTACAATTGCAATTAAAGACGACCCACTTGATTATCTTCGCACTGCTAAGGCTTCTATGGACCGGAAGAAGAATTCTTTCGAAGCTATTGCCTCAGGAACCATTATTAAGCTATTCACATATTTCTTTGGCATCAAGGTACATAATTACTATTTTATATTTTACCAAATTAATTTTTAAATTTTAATTAAAGTTAATTAAATTTTCAAATTTTATATATTTAATTTACTAGTCATTAAGTTATTATCGAAAGCAATATGTTCCTCCATTATTATAACAGGGTGCAAGTATTTATGCCCAAAGAATTTTTTCTCAAACTACAATACTTGTCTCAAATCTGCCTGGACCCACCCAAGAAAGTTCTGTCTATGGTCATTCGATTAGCTTCATAGCTCCTACAGTTTATGGGCTTCCAAATGTAAGTGCTCTCTATCAATTCCAATATATTCTTTTCTCCTTTTTTTTTATCTCTATAAAACTTTTATTTAGAAATTTTGAACCAAAATGACTGGTTCTTTTACTATTATTCAATGTGAAATTCGTCTCTCAACAGTTAAGAGTTCAAATAGTTCTGATTAGTAAAAATATACAAATTAATATTAAGATTCTGATTTTATTAATTATATATATTGATATTTGACAATACTATATTCACAGGCTCTGACTGTAAATTTTCAAAGCTATTTCAACAAGATGGCAATTGTTCTATCAGTTGATGAAAATGCAATTCCCAATCCTCACCAGTTATGTACTGATTTCGAAGAATCTTTAAAGCTCATTAAGGATGCTGCCATGGCTAGGGCAAAGATGATGACATAAGGGCCATGCAAATGTAATTGTATGCTCATTTGTCAATTTAAATGCACAAGAGATTTTGTTAAGTCGGTTGCTCAGTTGTTTGTGTTGGCTATTAAGTTTTATAAAAATAATATATAAACCAAAAACTTCTCTGATAATGTAATAATGTTGCATTGGTTGTCCAATAGGATTATTAATTTTTGTTTCATTATTTTGCCCTCAATTTTTTTTTTTTTATTCTTTTTCTAGCATATTGAACTAAACAGCGCCCATAGCATTGGTTGAGCAACCTTCTTGGCAAGCTTGGACTTACAGCGCCCATAGCATTCTTGACAAGCTTTAAATCATACAAAGACATTGTTGTATGAACAAACCTGCTTGTATTAGTTCCAAATTGTACTGTTCCTTTAAGAGGGGTCTTGGTATCTTCCAAGAAGAAAATAGTCAACAGAAACGTCACCGCATCGATAAAAGTATTCCAAATCAGCACCACCAACAACCATAACTTAACCAAATATTGCAGAAACCCTCATTTTTTTGCTTCCTTCTCTGCATAGTTGGAAATGTCGGAAGTGACTCAGGATCCGACACTTTTCGAGTGCAAGAAAGTAACAGAAACATGAGAGAGGCTCCATCACCGAGCGAATGGTGGAAGCGAAGAATGGCTATTAATTCTGCTTCAGAGGTTTTAACATTGAGAATATGAAAATCCCACAAAGGTTTAGATTTGCTGACTGCGGTTTTGCTTAAGTTGGAGGCATAGTCTTCTACAAACTAATCAGGACAGTATATGTTTTGATGATCAATAATTGGGACTATAATACGATTGTCTAAAAGCTAGTTTAAAGGTATGTTACCAACCATTGTAAAAAATAACGTTTCAAAAGGTTAAACTCTGCAGAGATTATGTAAAAAGTTAACTTATAAATGGATCTTAATTAATTAATTAATTTATGAAAAGATATGCAAAATTATAAATGGAATACCTGCATGCAAACAAGAGAAACGAGGATGCTTAAGGAAACTATGGACCAGGATAGGATTAATAAGATGAGGATTGATTGGAGTCTTAAATCCAGGATCACAATTATGTAGACATTGGAATCCCGCTCATGAAACGTACGAGCTACTGGGCTCAAAGGTTGCCCAGATTCCTTATCGTCTCCATTTGTAACTCGAATTGGTGTAAGACCTTCCATGGTTTTTGGCTATCAATCTACAACAAGATATTTGTGGTGTGGCGTACCAACGCAATGGCACCTCTTTATATAGACTTCAATAATTCTTATTGATTGTGGGGTAAGACTACTGTACAGAGATGCTATAGACGCAGAAATGGTTATTTTTCATTAGATTTAAACGATCTAAATGTGGGCCATTAAATCTAAAAATTTCTAATAACTTGATACCTATAAAACCAATAATTTATTATTCATGTATTATTTAATTATATTTATTATTATAATAACAAACTTTTTTTGCCCATCTAAAAACTCAATACAAGAAGTAATTCTAATTGTTTAATTTGAATTTTATTTGTAATATACGAAAAACAATTCAAAACTTAATTTTTTGAATTTATCTATTATAAACTTGACTTATATAAAAATAAGTTTATCATTTAGATTTCAAAATAATAATACGATTAATCGAACACATAATAACAATTGCATTATTAAATATAATGATTAATAATCGAATTTGTAACACTCATTTTAATTTTTCATTAAAAATTTAATACTAGTGCTTTTTAAAATTTTCTTGTAAACTTCATAAAAACCATAACCAATTGTTTTAAAAATATAACTTCAAAATTTATTTTCATATTAGAATTAATTATAATTATGTAACCCATATCTATAAACTTTTTTAATATATATTAAGATTGTTTATAGATTTTTTACAAAAATAATTATCTTAAAATGTTATTTATTGTGTTTAAAGTAATTTCAAGTACATTATTATTTATATTAAAATAATTTTTTAGTTATCCGCATTCACATGTAATCAATAGAAATATCTTCAATTAATTTAGTGTTTTGCAAAAAAAATTAATATAATCTTAGAAAAGTTTAATGTGTTTTAGGAGAAAAATGGTTTTCTAAAAGTTTAAAAAGAAAAAAATAGATAATCTCATGACCTGCCTAGCAAATTAGCATGTCCAAATGGCATGCAAAGAGAGTTTCTATATCTATAAAGAATCGTAGAATTCTATATTTTAGTAAAAGCCAACTTGAAAATATAATTTCCAAGAAAATGAGTATTATTCTTAACAGTAAAAAATTATGTGCAATGAAAATCATATGTGGTCTGATTAAGTTTCTCGTGTATTCTAAAAAGTTCGAGTCATTTCAATCCCTATTATGTAACCTACATATGTACAAAAAAAATTATGTGGAATATTAATAGGAATAAGGATTAATTTGCCCTCTAAACTTTGACACAACATACATTTGCCCAAAAATTAATTTTTTTACAATTTGCACCTTGAACTTGCACCAAAAGTATAAAATGCCCAATTTTTATTTCAAAAAATAAATTAATTGATATAAATCAAATATGATTAAAAAGTAATTAAATATTCAATCTAAATATAATTTTAAAAAAATAATCATACAAAAAAATACTGAATATTTTTCTAACAAAAAATTTCAATATAATCAAATACCTTTATAATTCTTTAATTTTTTAAATTAAATACTTGTTAAATTATTTTTAAATCAAATACTATAAACCTTTATAATTATTGTTATATTTTTAAATAATTTTTTTTTCCAATTTTAAGTAATTTTTCTTAGGTAAGACTATATAAAAAAATTTTTCTTAAAAATTGGCCATTTTGTTGTTTTGGTACAAGTTCAAGAGGTAAATTCTACAAAAATTAATTTTTGGACAAATTGTATGTTGTCTCAAGTTCACGGCAAATTGAGCTTTATTCCATATTAATATTATATTTAATTAGTATTTAAAACATATATTAGCATTTTGTATTTTAAATTATATTATTTTAGATGATCCAAAAAATTGTTTGAGAAACAAAACAAGTAACCCCACCAAGGTAGGCATTTGTTCCATAGCTGCCAAGAGAGAGGGCATAAGAGAAATAAATGGAGATGTGATTCAATTTCACCATTACAAAAAGAGCAAAGGGCTTGATTACTAGGAAGAATGCAATGTATAGCGTCGAACTATTATTACTGTCCTAGGATCAACTACTGGTGATGTGAAATAGAAGTAATTGTCATTTAAGTAGGCATGGCCAAATTACGGTTCCGGGAACCGGAACCGTCGGTTCGAACCGGCCCGGAACCGGTGAGAACCGGAATCGGGACGAACCGAAACCGGAACCGAAAAAATTACTGTGTTGCCTATTGCGAAAACCGACACGCTACGGTGTCGAAACGGCCCGGAACCGGTTGAGACGAATCGGGACGTAACCGAAACCGAACCGAAAAAATCGCAGTTCGGTTCCGGTTCCTGCAAAATGAGAAACCAGAACCGTCGGCGTTCCAGAGAAACCGGTCAGAACCGGACTGGAACCGCCGTTTTTCTCCGGCCGGTTAGGGAACCGCCGGTTCGAACCGGCGGTTCTAGCGTGGTAGACTGTCAGATTTTGAGTTTTTTTTTTTTTCTGTTTGAAATTGTCTTAATTACCCCCTCCAACCAAGCCATAAACGGCTATATTAAACGGCTAGCTTTTAAGGGTTATTTTGGAAAATGAATTTCTTGGATTATTATTAAATACCTCATTTATTTACAAATTCATTACAAAAAATCTCAAACTCTCTCTACTTACTCTCTCTACAAATATACTACACTTCTCCTACTTTACTCTCTGCACAACATATACTACACTCTACTCATTATATCATTAATCCTTCTCTTACTCTCCAATATCCTCTTATTAAGTAATTATTCTCATCTAATTTTTTTTATTTCAATTTTCCAAAGTTATATTTTATTATCATATAATGGGCCAAGTGGAGGAAACTCAAATTCGGGTAAGGGCAAGGGAAAAATTGGAGAATCATCTATCCCTACAAACGACATCTATGATATGATTCCCGACCAATGTAATTTTGAGGGTTTTCCAAATGAAAATTTGGATATTCCAACTCAAGAATCCGAATTTAATGAGCAATTTTAAGAAGATGAAGAGCAAGAGCAAGAGCTACGAGCAAAAATTGTTACAAGAGCAAGATAAAGTTCCGACATATTCTCCATTCATTTCACAAAAAAATTCAAAGGTGAGAAAATGTACGATATAATTTGCAATTAGCAATTATTGTGGAAAATCTTATAAATTTAAATAAGCGGACGGCTATGGATCATTTTGGAAGCATTTGGAGGCAAAACATCCAACAAAAATAGTAGTTGATCGGTCTCAACAACAAATTTCCGGGTACGCTTCTAACCTTTCTTTATTTAAATATTCTGAAAAAATATAAAAAGAAGAATTAGCAAAAATGATTTTAGGGAACATTTTAATCCTTTTTAAGTTTTGGTGAAAATTAGGTTTAATAAATTAATTGTCAAAAAGCTTTAAATCCTTGTCGCTAAAAAGAGTACCTCAAGAAAACTGTTAAAACGAACTATTATTTCTTTATATAACAAAGGAAAAAAAGAAGTTAAACTTTTATTTTCTCAAAAATTGAAAATTCGTTGTTTCAATTTGTTGTGATGTTTGGAGTGATCATTGGCAAAATGCAATTCTTATATGGGTATACATGTCATTGCTTGATGATGGATTGGGAAAATTCAAAAAAAGAATTTTTGGTTTTTCGTGTTTTTGATGATAAACATACTGCATAATAATTTATAGAGTAATTGTTTCATTTTAAGATGAATATAGGTTGACAAAAAAAAATTTTTCTATTTTCATTTGATAAGCTTTCTGGCAATACTAGATCAAATTATTGAACTTAAAAAAAATTTTGTGACCAAATATTGGTGGTAAAGTTTTTCCCTAATAAAGATGTGCATGCCATGTTTGTAAAAATTTATTGTAACAAGATGGTTTTGGAAAATTCTTTGAATTCTTTTATTTCTCCAATTAAAAAAGCTAATTTCATATTTTATGGACACATCCCCAAGTGGATCGAAAAAAAAGTTGGGCTAAATTTTGTAAAGAAAATAATAAAAGACCAAAACGTTTTCCAAGGGATGTCCCAACTCGTTGGAATTCAACATATAAATTACTAAACTAGT